TTTTTGTACTGGTCATCATATAATTAAGATTATTTATATATATATATATATGTTCAAGTTCGATTAGTTGTTTAACCTGTCCTTTAGGCTATATATAAGTGATTATAAACCTAAATATAAAATAATTAATTGGTGGGAAGGAAAAAAAAATGCAACATTGAAGATTGGAAAGGATTTCAGCATCTAACTGATGGGAGTATGTATATTAGTCCCGAACCTAATTTTTACTTGATATATTATATTATATATATGTGTCTGTAAATAGTATAGGGTATTATAGCAGGTACCTAACTTTTATTTTTAAATTTCTTTAAAGATGAATATTGGAAGCAGTTGATGAGAGCAGTTTGCAATACATGAAAGAGATAGGTTTTAGATATTACAATTTTGTTTTCTCTGTAGGCATTAGATACCTTTGATCTTTCCTTTTTTATTTTATTTTTTTCATTGTATTACATAATATATCTTCTAAATTCTGTTAAAATTTCTCAGTATTCACCTTTCGATCACTTCACGTGGCCCATTGTACAATGAGTTCGTTTTCATTGTAAATTAAGGGTGTGTTTGTTTTGAGGAATTATTCTGTGAGATTGGATTATTAGTCCCTCCAGACTAATAATTCATTATTTGGTTCAATTTTTTTGCTCCGGATTAATAATCCTTCTGGACTATTAGTCCCTCATATGAGGGATTATTAGGCCTGTTTGGTAGAGCTTATAAGCTGTTTATTTCAGCTTTTAGCTTAATTTAAACTAAAATATTATGTTTGGTGTAGTTTAAGTTCACCAGCTTATAGCTTAAATCAAGCTATTTCTCAGCTTATTTCAAAAGCTGGTCAGGGGGTGCTTAAATTTTTGACTTAAGCACGCAGCTGGTGTAGGGGGCTAAAATTACTTAAATGCCCTCGTCAATACCCAAATATTAATATTAATTAAAAAATAAAAAATTGTATATTTCTGAAGAAAAAGAAAATTTAAGTTAGAGTTTGTCTCTAGTAACAACCTTAACAGAGGTTATCAAGTTATATTTCCATCCATATTTAGTTGAAATAATCCAATTTGCTCTGCTTCTCTTTGTGCCGAAAATTTGTCCAAAAGCAAACTTTTCCCCCCCAATCATTTAGCATATCTCTAACCTCTAATAGATTAATAAAATCTCCAAGGTCCCTCATTCCTCTTATCAACCCTAATGAAATCCTTGTCTTTCACCAACATTTCTAATTTCATTAATATCCCTCCATCCACCAAGCTACTTGATATACCTTTTTTTTTTCTCCTCAATTCACATTACTCCTCCCACAATTCTCTTCTTTCAACTGTATTATTAGGAGCTCAATAAATGTTTATCAAATACTCCATCAAAATTAAGCTATATATATAATTTTTTTTTCTTTCATCTCTTTTTTTTCTCTCCCCCTTGAATCATTAACAAATATGGCTTTCTAGGCTGCACCGTCTTCTTGATAATTCTCCTCTTCCCTGTATTTCCCAACTTGCCAACATTCCATGTATCGAAATGCATATTTTGAATACTTCATTTCATTTCCTCCAAAATTTAAAAACTCCAAAGTGGTAGAGGTCTCTTTAAGAATTATGCGATTGCAATTCATAATATATCAGAGGAAATTGAAGAGCCCCCATTAGATTTCTTCAACTCCTTCGCTTTTTCTTCTTCAAGTTTGGAATTAAGCTTCCTTCTGATTAAATCAAGAATTGACTTCCTCCTTTTATATCGATTACTATCTTTCATCGCTTGGGAATCTGTCACAATTTTTAGAATATGGGAGGTCAATATAATTTGCAGAACATCAAGTGCTGTCTATAGTTCGATGTATTTGATAATGCACACAATACTTGGAAAGCTCAATCTAGATCCAAAATGCAGATGTGGCTCAATCATTAGGCTACTTAAACCATCACCTAGGCTTCCAACAAAATTTTAAGACATTCTTATAATTGCCAAAGGCCCCAATATCTCAACTGCTCAATAAAATAAGGTCTCATTTTCTTATCTAGCCTAAGGCCTTAATAAAAATTATAAATTTAATTTAATTGAAAATAATAAATTAAAAATTATAGCCTTATAAATTAAAAAATTTTAGTGTTGTTAATTATAAATTATAGATTACAAATTTAAAATTATATATTAAATAAAAATTATAAATTACAAGGGTAAAATAGTCTTTTGAACATTTATTCTTATCTAGTCCGTCCAACCAAACATTGGATTCACTAAAAATAGTCCAATCTAGACATCTAATCCCATGACTAAACAAATATAAGATATAAATCCAGTCCAACCAAATAGTCCAGGGACAATGTATCCCAGGACTAATAGTCCAATAGTTTACAATCCCTCCTTATCCAGTCCGTCCAAACAAACACACCTTAACACCCTATTGAATACTATGCAAATTACTTGAAGTTATAACATAATGTATGTAGTTTCGTAATTTCAATAACTCATTCAATCGTAATTCAAAATTATGATTCAATATGATTGTTATCGTAATGTTAATCAAATTGCATCATAACAACAAGGGATGTATATCATCACACTTTTAAGGAATGTGCACCAAAGTTTGACCCAAGTTAGTCTGGTCTTTAATAAAAGTGGATTAGCATTCTCTCATTTGTAAAATTTTCACTAGATTATTGACTGAAAACACCATATGAATAATGCATATGATTTTCCAAAATTATTGAATAAGTATTCAATGAATGTGGACTCATTTTATAAGTACAATTTCTAAATATTAGTTGTGTAGGCGAATTGTATATCATTAGTTTCTATCTAATTACATCTCAATCAAGCTATATACAATAGAGCCATTTAAAAAGTTTTAAGGTGAAGGACGTCATAATAGGACAAGTGCACGGGACCATACTGTGTAATGTAGCTTGTTTTAGGCTGCTAATACTATAGTTTTTAGTGTGGTCATCCCCTGGGCAGGGGCTAACAAGGCCATGGCCTAGGGTCCCTCAAAATAGATCATTTCTTATTATGGTTTAGTGTAATATATTAGATATGTTTTAAATTTTAAAAAAATTAAAAAAGCCCAAACTAACTTAAAATAAACTGACCTACTAAAAAATTGAAAGGTCTATTCAAAAAAATTAACATTGTTATCTATTGAAAAAGAGTCCTCTCCTATTATAGTTTGTTGTAATATATTAGGTATGTTTTAAATTCAAAAAAAATTGAGAAAGACCCAAACTAACTTAAAATAAATTGACCCATTAAAAAATTGAAAGGCCCATTTAAAATAATTAGCATTGTTATCCATTGAAAAATAATTTTGCAAAAAAACTAGATTATGCAAGTATGATTGATTTATTTGCTTCTAAAAATGCAAGAAGAGTGAGGATCAAGAGACATTTATTAGTTGTTGTAATGTAATACTAAATATTTTTTGTGATTTTGACACAAATCTTTTGTCTTTTACCTTCATTTTTTTTTTCATTCAATAAAAAAAAAAAATGTAAAAGCCCTCAATAATTTATTAATTGGTTATTGGTTTTGAGTCCCGAAAATCCGAGGGCCGGGCCTGCTTGGGATGCCACTAAATCTCTAGGGTTACACCATGAGCCGTAGGCCATGACCATGGGACGACTCTATCAGATCCAAATCCAGATCCATACACTCGCTTATGTTTATTTGTCCATCTCTCTTTGTTGTTGCTTGATTTATTAATGGCTTAATTTTTAGGTTTGATGGTTGATAGTGGGGGTTGAATGAATAGGGCTGTTGAGTGGGTAATGATAGTTGTAGAGAAAGTTGGAGTTTTTGTTAGGGTGGTGGTGGTGGAGTTCGTGGTGGACCATCATTATTGCACAATGGCGATGTTGGGGTTAGGATTTATGTTATGGTGATGGGGGTTTGTCAAATTGGCAATGGTGATACAGTAAAGAAAAAAGATGGGTAGTTGTACAGTGGAAGAGATAGGAAGAAAGATGATTGGCTTTGCATAGGGAGAGAAAGAAAAAGAAAGGGGAGTGGTAGTTGCGTAGTGATGGTAGAAGAGAGGGCGAAGGGTGGCGACTAATGGGTCTTGTGGGTGATGTTTGGTAGCGAAGACTTCTGTATGGTGTTCTTTATTGGGTGTGTGTTATATTCTTTGGTGTGTTGAGGATAGTTTTGTCATTTTAGATTTTCTTTTATTAGCAGAGTAAAGTTTTGAAATCATTGGAGGAGGTTAGTGTCATTTACCATACTTATAAGATCACTGGTAATTTGTGTAATTGTCGGAAGAGGTTTGTGTAATTTATCTAATAAAGAAAAAAAGAAGGTTGTTATTAGCATATATCTTAATTCTTTGGACCTCTAATTTCTTTGACTATCGCCTTAAATCTTAAATTTCAATAAGATTTCTTTTAACACTCTACTTAATATCAAATTTATCCATATTCATAATATCATCACACCCACGTGCATACCTACCTAATTTTGTGCGCCCTCTCTATCATGGTTGAAGACGGTCCATCTCCCCCCTCTCTCCTATTGAAGAACGATGATGACGACGACGACGATCCCTCTTCTGTTGAAGAATGACGATGACAACGGTCCCTCTATTTGATTTATTTGAAATCAGTGAATGACGGTGTCCATTTTATCAAAAAAACCATTATATTATTGCATCATTGTTGTAAAACTGAGCCAAAATCACACCACTGGTTGACCGTCCAGTCATTTGGTCAGTCGTCCGTCCAGTCGACCAGCCAATGGTTGGTTTAGCACTGTGTTGTCGAACATAAACAATTTTATTAGCACTGTGTTGTCGAACATAAATAATTTTTCAGCACTGTGTTGTCGAACATAAACATTTTTTCAGTACTGTGTTACTGAATAAATATAAACAATTTTTTCATCATTGTGTTGCCAAACAACATTTGTTCAAAGTTGTGTAACTTAACTCTCAATTTACTCTTTTCTATTCAATTCAGTACAACAAACAAAATAACAGACATTCATTCTAATTCAACCACTGATTTTTGGTTTAGGGTTTAGGAGGATGATGATGATGACGACGACGATGAAGAGGAATATGTTGGGCTTAGAATACTGATGAAGAGGAATGTTTGGTTTAAAGATGGTGATGAAGAGGAACGTTGTGAAGGGGAATACGTTGAATTTAGTTGAGGGAGGTAGGTGTATAATATTGTAGAGTTGTTTTTATTTAGTGGGTGAATGTTCCATTAAAAATTGTCCTTTAATATAATTTTTTTTAAGATATAATTATAATAAAAAAAGTAAAAATTAGAGGATCCACAAAAATTAATGTATTAATAGTAACCCTTTAAAAATATAATATTCTTTGTATTGATTACATGTTGAAGAGATTAAGGTGAGTACCAACAACAAATAATAAAAGGTTAAAAAACTTGACTAGTGGGTTTAGAGGGTGGCGGCTAGATAGTGATAGTATTATGGGGGAAAGGAAACTACGGATGTCAAATGAGTAATGTTAGCGGTTATCGGAAAAATATTATGAAAATTATTATGAAAGATTTTTTATTTTTAAATTATATATATAATAAAATATTACATATTAATTAAAAGATAAAAAAAATTTATGATGCATTTTATGATATTTTTTTCATTATTTCTAATATTATTCATGTTAAATTGGTCTCACAAATTAGGCCGCACAATGCAAACCATTTACAGGAAGGAATTCCATTGATTTGATTTTATATCTTTTGATTTTCTTTATTATAAAAATTATAAAGCTAAATTTTCTTAGGAGAAATTACAATTTTTTTTTTTAAAGGTTTGACCCTTCTAACAAAATAAATATGAATTTTTAACTATAATATTTTGATTTGTTTTCAATATAAATCATTTGTCTATTTCTGTTAAGTAAAACTGACGAAACATATGGTATTTCAGTTATTAAACTTAATAAAAAAAAATATTTTAGACATTTTATGTATACAATTAAAATTACATTTGTTTGTTGGATTTACTTAACGGAAATAAACAAATAATTTAGATTGAAAACAAATCAGAAGTTTAGAATTTAAAATTAATAAAATTAAAAACACAAAGTTTATTTTGCTACAAGGGTTAAACTTTGATTTTTTTTTTGTGTGTAATTTTTTCATTTCTTAATTATGAAAATTGTATCAAAAAGAAAAATGATTGCCTAATTAATTATACACAAAAAGATTTTAATTATATAATTCAAAGATTATAACAAAATAACTAAAAATAAAAAATAAAACATGCAAGAATTTATTTTCAAGTAATAATGTACAAAAAGTAAACATAATTTTTTTTAGTACAGTTACCTTGGCCCCTAAACAAAATTCCAGGTTCCCCATGTCTCCATTAATTAAAACATCATACAGTAAAAGGATATCCCTCAATGGAACACAATATTGACGAGTCCTTATTAGAATTTTTTTGGATTAACATTATTTTATTTATTTATTCGAGTTTAATTGAAAAAGTTCTAGTAAAAAAAATCAATTGGGGTGATTTAGGTATGAGTGTTGTGACAGAAATAAACCAATAAATATCTTATTTATGTAGTACTCAAACCCTATTTGACAAAATTTATTTGCAACTTATTTAGTTTAAAATTTAAATAATTATGCATTTTACTATAGGGCATTTGGCAAAACTTTTCAAGCTTTCAACTTTTTTTTTTTGTTTTTTAAGCTCTAATCAAACTGGGTCAAAGTTCTATCCAGTGCAGATCTAGTTTTGGCTTATGGACCATCAATGACCCTACTTTGATAATATTTGTCGTTTATTTTTTAGGTCTATGTATGCAAATTATCTATAAAAAAAATTAAATCGATCATTAAGTATAACCACATGATTTCAACATTATAGTTTTGAAAAAGCAAACTGTCCATCTTTAAAATCATACCTTCCACCACTTTTTTTTTTTTTTAAAAAAAGATGATAAAATCATATAGTTATAATTATTAGATCAATTTAATTTTTTAATAAACAATTTATGCACATGGGCCTAAAAAATGAAGAGAATATATCGTGAAAGTAGGCCTAACCATAGTTGGACGAATCCGGATCCTCGGCTGCCCTACCCGGCAGCCCCCCAAAACGACGTCGTTTTGGGGGTTTTTTGTTTTTTTGTTTTTTTTTTCTTTTCTTCTTCTTCGTTCTTGTTTTCTCTCTCTTCTCACAGAAGCCAGAGGGGGGAGGGAGAGGGAGAAGAGGGAGGAAGGAGGAGGGAGGAGGCTGCGCCATCGCAGCTCGTCGCCATGCCGCCGGCCGTCGCAGCCGTCCAGCTCGTCGCAGCAGCTCGTCGCAGCAGCTGTGCACCGCCATCGCCTCCGCCTCCGCCTCCTCCTCCCCCACTGGTTATGGCCCCCTCCAGTCCGGCCGGCCCTTCCCTTCCTCCTCCTCCACCTCCTCCTCCCTCCTCCTTCCTCCCTCTTCCTCTCCTTCCTCCATTTCTTCCTCTGCGTTTTTTTATTTTTTGAAATTTGCCCCCAAAACGACGTCGTTTTGGGGGGCTGCCGGGTAGGGCAGCCGAGGATCCGGATTCGTCCAACTATGGTTAGGCCTACTTTCACGATATATTCTCTTCATTTTTTAGGCCCATGTGCATAAATTGTTTATTAAAAAATTAAATTGATCTAATAATTATAACTATATGATTTTATCATCTTTTTTTAAAAAAAAAAAAAAGGGGGGGGGGGTATGATTTTAAAGATGGACAGTTTGCTTTTTCAAAACTATAATGTTGAAATCATGTGGTTATACTTAATGATCGATTTAATTTTTTTTATAGATAATTTGCATACATAGACCTAAAAAATAAACGACAAATATTATCAAAGTAGGGTCATTGATGGTCCATAAGCCAAAACTAGATCTGCACTGGATAGAACTTTGACCCAGTTTGATTAGAGCTTAAAAAACAAAAAAAAAAAGTTGAAAGCTTGAAAAGTTTTGCCAAATGCCCTATAGTAAAATGCATAATTATTTAAATTTTAAACTAAATAAGTTGCAAATAAATTTTGTCAAATAGGGTTTGAGTACTACATAAATAAGATATTTATTGGTTTATTTCTGTCACAACACTCATACCTAAATCACCCCAATTGATTTTTTTTACTAGAACTTTTTCAATTAAACTCGAATAAATAAATAAAATAATGTTAATCCAAAAAAATTCTAATAAGGACTCGTCAATATTGTGTTCCATTGAGGGATATCCTTTTACTGTATGATGTTTTAATTAATGGAGACATGGGGAACCTGGAATTTTGTTTAGGGGCCAAGGTAACTGTACTAAAAAAAATTATGTTTACTTTTTGTACATTATTACTTGAAAATAAATTCTTGCATGTTTTATTTTTTATTTTTAGTTATTTTGTTATAATCTTTGAATTATATAATTAAAATCTTTTTGTGTATAATTAATTAGGCAATCATTTTTCTTATTGATACAATTTTCATAATTAAGAAATGAAAAAATTACACACAAAAAAAAAATCAAAGTTTAACCCTTGTAGCAAAATAAACTTTGTGTTTTTAATTTTATTAATTTTAAATTCTAAACTTCTGATTTGTTTTCAATCTAAATTATTTGTTTATTTCCGTTAAGTAAATCCAACAAACAAATGTAATTTTAATTGTATACATAAAATGTCTAAAATATTTTTTTTTATTAAGTTTAATAACTGAAATACCATATGTTTCGTCAGTTTTACTTAACAGAAATAGACAAATAATTTACATTGAAAACAAATCAAAATATTAGAGTTAAAAATTCATATTTATTTTGTTAGAAGTGTCAAAATTTTAAAAAAAAAAAAATTGTAATTTCTCCTAAGAAAATTTAGCTTTATAATTTTTATAATAAAGAAAATCAAAAGATATAAAATCAAATCAATAGAATTCCTTCCTGTAAATGGTTTGCATTGTGCTGCCTAATTTGTGAGACCAATTTAGCATGAATAATATTAGGAATAATGAAAAAAAATTATAAAATGCATCATAAATTTTTTTTATCTTATAATTAATATGTAATATTTTATTATATATATAATTTAAAAATAAAAAATCTTTCATAATAATTTTCATAATATTTTTCCGATCCCCCCTGAACTGGTTGCCGATCCAGCATGTTTGGTGCCGAAGGGGTGGAGGAGCCGGGTTGTCAAGAATTGGGTTGAATTTAGGTGGGTGGACTACAGAAGAAGATCCAAATCTCTATTTTAATGTGCTTGTCTCTGGTTCATATAATGGACTGAACTTGTACAATTTAGGTTCCCGAGTTTATTAAAGATTATATTTTAATAGTTTAATTTCCTAATTTTTTTTTTTATAAAAAAATCTTTGGGTTCGTTAGGAATTTGACATTTTTTTTAAGGTGAAAATTGACAATTCATTTTTTAAAAATAAATAATTAAATCAAATTATTATAATTAACAGATCAATCTGATTTTTTTTATTTTTTATTTTTTATTTTTTTTATAAATAATTCACCCGAGAGACTATATAAAATCAACAGATAAAATCAACATAGTTAGGCTCATAATGGGTTCATGGGCCCGAACTAGAGAGAAATGAATAGTAATTAGTTAGTATTAGTACGTGTGATTGGACTTGCTTTTTCAAACATCTTTTTTTATTGATATTTGTCTCATTATAAATTGGATTCCACCAATAATTTTTTTTTTTTTTGGTTGCTGATAATCCTTATTTTTTTTAAATACTTACATGTATTTGTCGTTTGAGTAGAAAACATAGTTAATAATAGAATTTTTTTACCTAAGCACAATGGTTCAAATGTTTTTTTAATCAGGAAAAACAGGATAAAGCACTATTTATTTCACTGAAATAGATATATTTAGTTGTGTGACCCAGAAATTAAGCTGCACGGCTTGGTCGAACCGACATGTTTGACCTATATAATCTTTGCATATACAACTACACATACATCCAGAGTCATAATGAGCTTTTAATAGCATTTTTTTTTTCATTAAAAAAAATTTAAAAAATTTAGCAACCTGAAAAAATGGTCAAGAAATTTAATTTATCTGGAAAAGTAATATGTGATCTAAATTTAATTTTATGCATGATAGGACCCACACTAATATATATATTTGAAATTTTTATAAGCCCCGAGCATTACTTAAGAAAATTAGAAAAGAGCCTTACTAGTAACTAGTGCATAACAACCTTCTCAAAGTGTGACCATGAGAGCCCTCCCTTAATTAAGAGCCAGACAGTAAGAGTTCAGACCAGCCTAATAACACCAGAGATTAGCAAATGCTCTTTAAAACTGCAATTGAATTATAATT